AAACATTTCATTTATAAATAGATTAATATATATTGGAAACGGGTATGAGGCAGAGGAAACGGCATCGTTTGCTGGTATCCTTGATAATTATTTTCCACGCTCGCTCGCGCCGATAAATTCTATTGTTGAATGCATCCTTGTCAAATATATATCCCGTTCTAATACTTTGCTTAAATTATATTACGAAGCACACAACATGGGATAATATTTTTTCTTTTTTTTTTTTTGAAACTCTCTGTACTTCCTTCGTTTCTGCTCCATGAATTTAATCCCCGCGATCTCTCTATTTATTACTTGTAAAATAATATATTCCCAAATATATATTAAAGATCGATGTAATCTACGTTTGCGCCATTTATTCCATTATTACTTTGAAAATTGATTAAAGGATTGAATCACGCGTCGATATCCTCCGCACGATATCGCGACAAATTTAATGAATTTTTTGACGAATGTGCGAGAACGATGGTAAAAAAAAGGAGGGGGAAAGAGGGGGAGGGGGGAAGAGGACGAATAGCGCGGGTTCGATATCGATGCGACGCGAACAAAGGAACATCGAATCCAACCGATTTTCGTTGTTGTCGAAGTATGTCGTTCATTTTCGAAAAGAAAGTACATCGTCGTTGGAGAAAAAAAAAAGAGGATGATTAAGAATTGTACAAATATCTCTGTCTGCTCGATGGCGATGTTCGACATACACACATCCGTTTACTGTAAATAATCATACTCATCGTTAAAGATTACGAATTGAACCATCCACTCTATGGGATTGTATCATAGAAAGGGGGAAAAAAAATCTGTTCACAAAAGCACGTGTTCGTTTAAATATCCCGATACTGTGAGATAAACGTGTCCATGCGTGCGAGCGTCGTAGTTGTTTCATCGAATGTAGATAGGATAAGCGATTTTACAATTTTGTTTTATGTACAGTTGATCGTAGAAAAAAAAAAATATCCGGTTGAATTTTCAAAGATTACATCATATTATTTCGGAATAAAATCGTGTTTGGATTAAAACATAAAAGATATAAAGACTTTTTGATTTGAGCAAAAAAGACACGTCAAATGTTTAACGTAACTGGACATTTTTCGATCAACTAAAAACGTATACCCTCGTTCGTTATTCCCCGAGATTTCGAATTTCAGTATCTCGTTATCGCGGAATTTCATCGCTCTATCCACATCTCCGTGTATTCATTAATTCCGTGCTCGGTATTAATCCTTTGAAATCCGTACGTTAATTAAAAATCATTATCATATATAAATACTCCTCTGCAAGTGAAATACACATATTGAAACTACTGATAAAATCAGAATACAATTCTAAAATATTTTCAACGCGTTTTTTGAACACTTTACGATCCAATGTGTGAGATCCAACGTTCAAATAATTCTTCCAAAAAGAAAAAGAAAGAAAAGAAAAGAAAAAAGAAAAAAATAATTGAATAAATAATTGAAATTAATTGGATTAAATTTTTCCATTCCTTCGACTCGAGACAAATTTCATTCGATGGATTTGTGTTTCGCAACAATGTTCCTTTCTTAATCGTCCAACGATTCGAGGGATTAAGCTGGTTAACGGAGTTAATGGAAAGCCTGTTTGGTACATCGGCGTTCATGAACGCAACGGACTGAGCAGTATTAATTTCCGTCTTCCGTCTCTCCTAAGGCGTAAACACGCGCGAATATCGTACATGCATAGATGCCAGACCAGCCACTCCGAAATGATGATCAATTTCCTGATGCAGATAGATCGATCGTGAAACGAGATTAGCGATGAGATTCGATAATATACCTTCCACGTGGCACGCGATTGTGCACATCATTTCTGAGAAAACGCTATGTACACAATGACGAATTTTTTTTCTTTATTTCTCTCTCGATTTTTTTTATTTTTCTTTTTCTTTCTTTCTTTCCTTCTTTCTTTCTTTTTTTTTTCTATGTGTATGTGTAACGTCGACGCGTGTGTGTGTGTGTGTACGCACGGGAATGGAATCGTTTTTTAAAATACATACGTACAAAAAGTTGCGAAAGAAACCCGCATGAAACCGACACATTCATCACGCGCATATACACGAATGAATCTCGCGTATAATATAAATACGTATTTGTAAATATTGTCTGTATCGCGTTCATTGCGTTCACGACGTAACGAGTTTGTTAAGAGCTAATTGATTATATACTTCTTACATAAAAGTGTACCACGAGCATCATATTAAACGTGAATAAAATCATCGTCTGTAAATTCTCAACTGGACGAGTTTATTATCTGGAAATAATAGCGTGGATGTCAATTGAAACGTAAATATATATTTAAAATATCGTAAATTTGAAGTTAAGAGAATAAACTTTATAAACGATGAAAAAATTTAATTCGATCGGAATTTTAATTTTATAGAATAACCTAAACCGGCCAATTTCATCATCCTATAAAATATCCATTGAAATTTATTTCAATATTCCCTATTATTTTATACATAGTATCGTAAATCGTATAAAAATTCGAAATATTTCAAAAATTCCAAATTTCACGGTATCATCGATAATTAATTCATCGAAATTTTTATTCGTTTAAAAATATCGAATACTTAAAATTTCATCCATTGCTTATTTTCAAACATTTGTTCCTCGTATTCCATCGAAATCAAAAAATTGCTCCACTAATTGTGATATATATTTATTCCGCGCCTTAATCCCAAAAATTCCAAATTTTATAACATCATCGATAATTTTAGTATTAAAATTTTCGTTTATTTATAAAATTTTGATCAGAAATTCCATCGAAATTATTTTTTTGAAAACGCGCATTTCATCATATCCCACTCAGAAAATGATTTCATAAAACGTTTCCCATAATCCAAAAAAAGTTCCAAAAATTTTACAATAACTGATTAATCTAATCTGTTAAAATATCTTACTTAAAAATTGCGCGAGATAAAATCGATTTCCACTATTGATATTTTTCGACAATTCTCCATGATCGATCGATCCAGGTGTAACGTTCATCCGGTCTCAGTCAGAAAATTATTCCACGCGCAATATACTTAAACCCCGCGTCATAATCCCCTCGTTGATTACGACAGAGAAGTTCTACGTTAACCACGGCCACGTAATTGGTCCCCGGGAAGTTCTACTTTTACATCAATTGCCCCAGCCTTCACTCTTCGTTCCCTTGATTAGTGAACTAAATCCCAAACCGCTAACGTAACTCATTCACTAATGTATCCAACTTCCACGACTCTTACCTTCTCTCTTTGTCCCCGCAGAACACTAATGTACCTATTTAATTTACTTCGTTCTCCGCGTGTTTCGCTCTCTTTCCCCTCGCGTCTTCTTTCTACCAGTCGATCTACGTATCTCGATCTTTCGTTCCGTTTAAAACGGCCTTTCTCTCCGTTCCTCCATCCAAAGTCGTTTTTAAACGACTCTTCGTTCCATACACTTGCACTTACTTAAGGGGATGAATTAATTGCTTTGAAAATTAGAATTAAAGGAAAGGAATTAAGGTAAATTAGAAAAATGGAGGGTGAAAAAGGTAAATAATCTTTGTAAAAGAGATAAAATAAGTGGAGTGATTAATTGTTCAAATGTTTGAACGAGATATTCAATTTTAAAATGGAGATTTTTATTTCTCCTCGAGTGATAAATTTATATTTCTAGAGATTAGATTTTCTTCTTTTAAAATTTCTTTTCGCGTCGTTTCATTAACTTCTCGAAGAAACGAGATTTTATATGGAAGCAAACTGATAAAAACTTCGACAGTAACTTGAATAATAGAAGGATCTTTGCGTCGAAAATCAATATCGTCGTAACTCTCAAGATACGTTTTATGTTCCATGTTTTCATATAAAACATATTCTAGATTTGTGAGCTGAAAGTATGGATGCACGTGTTCAAATCATCATTCTTAGTACCGAGATATAAAAAAAAAAAAAAAAAAAAAAAAAAAACTTTGAATCGTACTTTTGTTTGAGAAAAAGTGTTATAAAATCCGAATCGTGTTTAAAAAAAACACATTTCTGGAAGAAGCTGGTACGTTTTATCGAAAATAAGAGTCATTTGCTCCGATTTTATATTATGATGTTCACGTCGCGTATTAATTTTTTACGAGAAATTTAACTACGTTTCACGGTAGCCTCATTGTCGACAACAACGCTGTGTTAAAGGGATTTCTTTAACTTTGCTCCCTTAATGGTCTGTTGGAAAAACAAAGCTGACGTGATTTCAACGGTTTATGAAAGCAATTTCGAATGAATTGGCATGAAACGTTTTGAAAATAAAAAAATTGTTTAAAATTATCGTTGCACAAAACTGAGGAGAAGAGGAACGATATAAATGCTAATGCGATTTCATTGTCAAAAAACTAACTTTGTGTACCTTGTGTATCAAGGAATTAAAAACAAAAAAAACAAGAAACAAATGTTTTTAATAAATTTTTTTAGAAGATCCACTATGACAGAGATGAATAAAAGAATTAAAAAATCCTAATGCAAAAAATGTTATTTAAAAATCCTTTCTTTGCAGTATACATTTTTAAAGATCTAAATAAATTTACTCGAAATAAAATTCAGACGACGCGTTCCATATATTCTCATCGCTATATGTGCGTCCAAGCACATCCATAAAAATTTCCACACTAAACGCGACAAATCTTAGTACAAACTTTAAACGCTAGTGAAGCTATATCCGCTTTCACACTTCACGATGCAAACGATGTTCCACTTCCGGAATAATATCGTCCCTCTTTTAATCAGCGTTGAAAAAAGAAAAAAAGAAGAAAAAAAAAGAAACCGATAAATTTTTATTAATAAAAATAACAACACGTCTGAACTATGTTTGATCGAAAAAGTAGCGGCGTTGCGTCTAACAATAAGTTAAGTTTCGAGGGTCTGGATGACCGCCATGTTACGATATACAAATGAAATCCAAGTAGTTTGGAAGGGAGGCCGCGTGTGCGCAGTGAAAAGGCTGTCGAGAAGCGGCGTTCGGAATTAGAGTGCATGCCGCGAGGTTCGTTCTGAAAAGCTCGTATATCAAACTTCTGTTCCAGGTAACCAAACCGTGTGTAATCGTAATTTCGAGGTAAGTCTCTCCCTTTCACGCTTGTCGCATGACCATTCTGTCCTTCCGGTTTAACTCCCGACCGCCATCGCTCTAACTATCGTTCGACCATGAAACGAACTTTCGTTCGTGCTACGTTTACGGCTTCCTCCTTATTGCGTGCCTTCGATCTTACGATTCTCGAGTCTTGCAATTGTTAATCCTGCAACTTTGTCCCCTTTCTTTTCTTTTTTCTTTTCTTTTCTTTTTTTTTTCCTTTTCAACTCTTACGACTCGCGATTTAAAATCGCGAGATAATTATTTTTTTGCAAAATAATTTCACGTAATACGAATTTCGCGTAATTCGAAACGACGATCGTTCGTTTTAACGATGTTGAACAATGTTTAGAGGCGTTCAACGTTGCCACTCCACCAAGATTTATTTCCACCATTATGTCTCTTGTTATTATTATCGTTATTTATCGCATACTATTATTTTTGTTAGATATGAATAGGGAAAGGAAAATAATATTGGCAGAGGTACAAAAATGTATGCTCGCGGAAAAATCTAAGTTCCTCGAAGAAGAAGAAGAAGAAGAAGAAGAAGAAGAAGAAGAAGAGGTCAATCGTAGAAACGTCCTGTCTTTTAATAGCGATGAAGGAATTTTTAGCGAAAGTGGAGTGGTGGCACGTGGGAAACGAGGCACTTCGTGGAAACGGTGTCGCGATGTCGTGTAGCATGGCACGGACGAACGGAGGGAGGCCGATCCCTCGAAAACACTGGCCGATTGCAATTCGATGGAAATTGTGTCACAGTGCTTAAGCGACAAGCACCGGTGACGGCGACGCTTCGCGTCTAAATATAACAGGCGTCGTAACGCGCACTCGAAGATTTTCGTGTGTTTTTCGAGCGATTACGGCCGCCTGGATGTGGCACGTTGACACGATGGCATCGAGACTCAACGATAGAATTAAATTCGATCCAATGGAAATAATCTTTTCAACTCGTTAACCGATAATTAAATTGATTTCAAACGATTTTAAAAAATTTTCTAGTATTGAAACTATAGTTTAGTTAGAGTTTCAAACCTTATTCGACCAACGTTTAATCGTATTTGGAAATGATGTATTTATAGAAGATTGGAATATTCTTCGAGTCACTTTCAGAGATTTTCCACTCACTATCTCTCTCTCTCTCTCTCTCTCTCTCTCTCTCTCTCTCTCTCTCTCTCTCTCTCTGTCGAACACTTAATAAATTTGATCTAGTCTGTCAATATTCGAGCATGTTTGCGATATACTCGATCCCATCACTAGTCGACGCGTTGACGGATTATTGGTGAGCGTTCACGTGCATCGATACGCGCGAAATGACCGCGAGAATTGCTCGTGGGATGAATGAATGAATGAAAAAGGACGCCGACGAACAAGCGTAGCGTGCATTTGGCAAGGGGACAATCGTGCGACGCTCGAAAATCGCATGTCGACGCTTGTGTTCGGCGCTTCGTGACGAGAAAATACGCAGCGGAAAAATTATCCCGCTAAAATTATCCCCCTAAGATGGCTGACCGACTAAGTCGCGTGCTCCAATTTTTCTCGATAATTGGAATAAAATTCAGGTTAAAAAAAAAAAAAAAAAAAAAAAAAATAATAAATAAAAATAAAAAAAAAAGAAAATAAAAAAGTAAAATTTACCTTTCGTCGAAATCGAAAAAATTATGATTTGCCTCGGGATATTTCGTTTCTCGTGGATAATATTTAATCGTGGATTTCTCATTTTTAATTCCCGTTGTTGGAAAATCGAACAATCCATCCCTTTCGAATCTTTTCGGAATTGGAGGCTTTCGAGCTCTTTTCAAGCTCTCAAACGGCCAATAATCATTTCCAACATAGTAAATCAAAATCCGCGGGGATGAGAAAATCAATCTCGAGGGAGGAGGGTCTGTCAGAGAAGCGAGGTACGTCTCCTTTGGCAGCTTCGAATAAATAGGCGGGCTGAATATCGAAGGATTGATTTTAGACGGTTCTAAATATTTACGCGGCGTCGAGAATTCGAGCGGTGTATATGCTTTCCGGCTGGTTTACACAACGTCGCGTGGTTAAGTGCTCGTTCGAATCCCACCGGTCTGCTCCAGCCATGAATCGCGTGTACACACGAATCTCATTGCAAATAAATTCGCGTCAGCCCGCCTCGTCTGCCTGTCTTTGAAGCTAATCGCGGTTTCATGGGGCCCGGCTTTTACAGATTCGGTTAATCCCCCTTGTTTTCTCGGGGATGTTCAACGTTTAAACTATCGGCAAGGAATCGTCGCGGCGTTAAACAACATCGCGTGTTTTTTTCTAAACAGTTTTCATTACGAATCCTCCGGTTACTTGAATCCGAGAGTGTTCGACGATTTATTTATTGAAACGAAATTTTAGATGACGATTTCCAATTAATCAAATCAATCGACCGAATCCAATTATTCTCAACTACCGATATTTAAATTATAATAAGCGATAGAGAGAATCGATAAATTATTATCGTATCGGTTCAGAGAAATAGAGTTTTAATGTATGAATACGAATGACAAAATTATTCGCGTTAATAATTTGCGCATTCGTGAATTTCGCAAAAAAGAATCATTAATAACGCACTTCTTGTTAAACTTTCTTCGCAAGATCGCCGATGAAAAAGAAAATTGTCAATATCCCCTTTTTTTAATTTAATTTTCATTGCTTGTCACGCCCTAGATAATGACTATAAGATGCTGGTCAAATATCTTCCATTGATCTTCCTCCCCTGCGTTCTGGGATTCCCTAAGAAAGTCCACATAGGTGAGAGAAAAAAAAAAAAAGCTATCGTGTATATAAATTTTGTGGAACAAACCAGTTGGACGCGCAAAGTGTTTCTAATGTTGTTAAACTTTAATCGTATTAATATCCCCGGTTGTCAAAGTTGTACGTTCTCTCTCAACGTCACCATCGTTTCCAGCTCGCGTTCCGCAAATATTAATAGAATAGAAGCCGTCCTCCAACGTGGACAGGCGCGACACGTGCTCACCGTAATTTCTTTTAGGAGGTTTATTCGACGATGACGCCGGAATTCGACGTACTTTCGAAACTTCCATAAAGGCGGTGAACAAACAGCGACACGTGAACGAGGAATTTTCAAACGTGTTCCTCATGGCGGAATCGAACAAGGTCGGGACAGATCCGTTCGAGGTTTCGCAGAAAGGTATCTCAATTTACAGTGGTTACGTTGGAAACGTTTCTAGAGTTCGTTATGATTTTTAATTTGAACAAAAAATATTCAGTATGCGAATTGATGGGCACGGGGGTGGCCGCCATTTTCGGTCCGTTAAATAGGTTCACCTCGGAACACGTGCAGAGTATATGCGACACCAAGGAAATACCGCATATTTATGGTAGATGGGAACCCTCTCAACCTCGTGGCAAAGGGATAAATTTATTCCCACATGCTGACACACTCGCCATGGTATGTGAAATACGAGAACAGATTTTGCCAATGCTCTCCGTTTTGAAAAATTATTTCGATTTCCTCCGTAAACCTCGCTTCGGATCGGATACTGTTTATGAATTTAAATAGATCCGATTCCGACACTCTCCGCGAATAAAATTCAAAATTCCCTTTTCGAGAATTCTCTTCGAGTAGAAAATATAAAGAAAATAATCAAAGGGTGTCGCTTCTAATTTACTAACGATAGATGTGTTTGATACGACTGCCAGATATTCGATCAAATCATAATCGATTTCGAGTGGAAAATTTTCGCGATACTGTACGAGGGAACGGATAGCTTGATCCGTTGCCATCGATTGTTGGAGATTAAGGATCCAAAGAAGCATGGGATATTTTTGTACCATTTGGGGCCTGGACCGAATTACAGGTGCATATTCGAAAACGAACGAATTCTTCATATTCGAAAAGTGAGTAGTAAAATTTTGCAGGAAAGTGATGAAGGAGATAAAAGACGCCGAGTTTGAGAACATAATCATCGACTGTTCCATTGACATATTGGAAGAAGTGTTGAAACAGGCGCAGCAAGTAGGGATTATGTCCGAGAAGAACAAAATTATAGTTACTTCCCTGGTAATAATAAAAGCGATTTCTTTCGTTCCTTCGTTCTCGTCTCATCGAGATAGAGGGGAATTTTCTTGAAACTGTTTCTCGAAAATTCTTCCAAACGATTAAAAACGAGCTTGGGCTCCCCTTTCAGGACTTTCAAACGATCGATCTAGAACCGTACCAATATTCCGGGGTGAATTTCACGGGGGTGCGTTTGATCGACCCCGCCAGTCCCATCGTGAAGAGTATCGTGAAGATGCACGAGGCGGAATGGGGTCTGGACGATCCCCGTCAATTAAGGATCGAACCCGCGCTCATGTACGACGCCGTACAACTTTTCGCCAGAGCTTTCAAACAGTTGAAGGACAGCATCGAGGGTGACGTGAAGAGATTGCCGTGTAACGACACCATTAACTGGGAGCACGGCTACAGTCTGAGTAATTTTATGAGAGTGGTAAGGGGTTGGAAATAAGGATTATTCGATCGAATCCGATCCGGACGGGAGAAGGGGGCGAATTGATATTCCATTTTTGCGAATATATTTCAGACTGAAATGGAAGGTTTGACCGGTTTGATCAAATTCGACACGGCTGGCTTTCGCACCAATTTCCAATTGGACGTCGTAAGGGTGACGGAGAACGGGCTGAAGAAGATAGGGATATGGAAGAGCACGAATGCCTCTAAATGGAGCGTGGAATGGCTATTGGAATCTGAACCTCCGAAATTTAACGCCGAGTTGAGCTTGCAGAATAAAACTTTTATCATTCTAATCGCGATCGTAAGAACAACGAAGGAAGAAGGAAGAAGGGGAAAGGAAAAGAGTCTCTGACAAATCTATACTATGCTTTGTCTTTATCTTTACAGAGTCATCCTTATGGAATGTTGAAGAAGTCGGCCGACACGATGATCGGAAATGATCGGTACGAGGGATTCGGCATCGATGTTATTCAAGAGTTGAGCAAAATGTTGGGTTTCAATTACACGTTCGAGGTGCAGACGGACAACGTGTACGGATCGTATTCTAAGAAGACGAAAAAATGGTCGGGGATGCTCGGGAAAATAATAGCCGGTGTTAGTATTTGTCGTGGAAAGAAATAAGATCAGATTTAAAATTTAGATAATTTTGAAAGATTGAAATTTCGTTGCAGGAGGCCGATCTGGCGATTACGGATTTAACCATTACGTCCGAGAGAGAAGGGGCTGTGGACTTCACGATGCCTTTTATGAATTTAGGTAGATGGACAGATCTATCAAGTATCTACTCTTCGATTCATCAAATCGTTACACGAATAAGAGACGAACCCTTCTTTTTTTACAGGAATAAGCATTTTATACAGAAAACCGACAAAGACACCGCCGAGTTTGTTCTCCTTTCTTTCTCCATTTTCGGCCGGAGTTTGGTGGTATTTGATCGGAGCTTATATATTTGTATCCGTGGTGCTATTCATAATCGGCAGGATATGCCCGGCTGAGTGGAACAATCCGTATCCTTGCATCGAGGAGCCCGAAGTGCTCGAAAATCAATTCACATTTAAGAATTCCCTTTGGTTCACCATTGGCAGTATTATGCAGCAAGGTTCCGAGATTGCGCCCATGTGAGTGAGTTCTCTTTTTGTTTTCAAAATTTCTGTATAATTCCAATTACGATTGATAATATTAAAATTTGTACAATTTCAATATCAGAGGATTGTCGACAAGAATGATGGCCGCTTCCTGGTGGTTCTTCTGCCTCATCATGGTCTCATCCTACACTGCCAACTTAGCCGCTTTCTTGACAGTGGAAACGGTGGTGTCACCATTTTCCAACGTGGAAGAATTAGCCAAAAAGCGGACTATTAAATACGGAGCCAAAGTGGGAGGATCTACGTTCATGTTCTTCAAAGTAAGTGTATACTTATTGTAAGCTTCCTTTTACAAAATATATCGAGTTACGAAATATGGTGTATAGAATAGTGAAAAATGATGAAACGGTTGTCAGTAGCGAGGAATTTTACAGGATGATTACAGCCTTCCAATTGTTTCAAAATGTAAGGGACGTTTGAATAGTAAAAACGCTTTGTTTGACTAAGTTTGTATCATTAACTGTCTTTGATAAAGTGTTACAATTAACGAATCACTCGAGAGATCTTCCTCTTTTGTGAACAGCAATTGAATATTTTTGATATCTCTCGAACCAAATTTTGGAAAAATCAGATGTTTTTTGAACTCCATTACAACATTTTATCGTAGAACATAGAAACCTTCGCAACCTTAATCACCTTAATCACTTTTAATGTAATGCTTAAGTGAATGTGTTTTCGATCGTATCGAAATTAGCCTGCTATCGATATCAGTTTACATTTAGATCTCCTTAGATATTAAAAATCATCAATAATATATAATAATTGCAAAAATTAATACAAATGCTGTTGCAAACTTCAATAAGTAGAAACTAAAATTCGACACATTTTTAACATCCTTCAATCAATTTAGATTAGATTAGTTTTCCCAATAAATAATAGATAAATTATCGAAAAACATTTACCCCCGCTTACTAACCAAACGAAAAAAAAAAACAGAGAGAATAGGCAAACGAGATTTTGGAGTCGTTCGTTCTAATTCAGTTTTTTGAAAGAATTATGCGCATTCCAAGGATTCCAACTACTCGACGTACAAGGAGATGTACGAATACATGATGGAGAACGCGGCGGACGTGCTGCCTTCCGACAATGACGCCGGATTGACAAAGGTGCTCAGAGAGGATTACGCGTTTTTGATGGAGTCGAGCTCGATAGAATACATCGTTGAACGATACTGCAACGTGACGCAGATCGGTGGACTTCTCGATGCCAAGGGTTATGGAATCGCTATGAAGAAGCGTAAGTTCCTTTCCTTTCGCTCGTTTCATCGAAAATTAAAGATTAAAAAAAAATTCTAGACTCGCCGTATCGCCATTCGTTGAACACTGCCGTGTTAAAGCTGCAGCAAAGCGGCCTGATCACGGAACTGAAGAAGAAATGGTGGACGCAGAAACGCGGGGGTGGAACATGTCGAGTACGTATATAGATAGAAGATTCTCGATGAAACTCGGTAAGAAGGGAAGAGAGTTGAAACTGTATATAGATTCTGTAATGTAATGATGCACGTAGGAAGACGGTGGTCAGAGCCAAGCGGAGGAACTGGATCTCGATAATGTGGGTGGTGTGTTCCTGGTATTGACCGTAGGCGTTGCCGCCTCCTTCTTTTACACTATATGCGAATTACTGTGGGATGTTGGATGCACGTCTCTACGTGAAAACGTGGGTGCAATCGAATCGTTCTACGATAATTGTCCATACACAGTGCACATGTTGATGAATATTAATTTTAGTAATTGAATTTATACACTTGTCAAATATAATTTGCAGGTTTCCTTCAAGGAGGAATTGATGGCCGAGGTGAAGTTCATCATAAAATGCGACAATTCGCCTAAACCTGTAAGAAGGAGAAAAGGATCGTCGAATCGAAGCGGGGAGGATAGTACAAGGGATTGCACACCACCGTATGGATTTATACCAGTAATTAGAACTTCTAGTTCCGATGACAAATAAATTGAAAACGATATACTTATCGAAGAAAAATCAATTTATTAAAAAAAAAAAAAAAGAAGAAGAAGGAAAAGAAAATGGAGAAAGTTTTTCAATTCAAAATCAATTTGTTCAAACCTTCTTTCCTTTCTTATTCTCAATTGGATCTTAAAATGTGCAACACTTTTTCTCATATCCACGTTTAATTAATCGATCGTTGATCGATTCGTTATTTTCGCAATAAAATCAAGACGCACGAATCTATTCCAAAATTCTAAAGTACGTGTACATCGTCTCGTTGTTACTCTCGCAAATTAATAATATCGAATCGTGCCACGATGATACGTCTCCTCGTAATACGTTGTTAACGGGATTTCCGAATAATCACAAATAGAGACACCTATAGTAATCGATTATCCGTGGAATTATCGGAATCCGATATGCAAATTACTCTGAGTAATATCACTTCATTAAACTGGTGCTCCAGAGACAAGTGGCATGAGCGATGTGCGCATTAAACTCGCCGTTTCGAATCGAAGCTTGAAAACATTGTTTTGTTGGTGCCATCGGCGCGATAAACACGGCTGTAAAAGGAAATTCACGATGTTCCGCCTCGATATTCTGGTTTTTCCGGTTTCCACCTCGTGTCGCCTATCGCATTACAATTATAAATTGAAATAATGGCCAATACGTGAAATTTTAAGATTAAATTATTATTTCTATTCGTCGATCAATAAGTTTCTTTCTTTCGTTTCTTTGACATTTATAACATTTATAACGTTTCTTTTCAATCCGTCGTCCATTTCCGCCGATGACAAGGCATCCGACGAATTTAATAATTGGCGGCAAGAACACGAGTAGAGTGCTGCTATCTCCTACACGATGCAGAAGCGTCTGCAACTTTGATCGGTAAGGTAGTGTCCGAATCTGGTTCTCAATCGACGATGATACGATTCGGCTTCGGACGAAGACCAGTTGAACGCTACTCGAACGATAATCAGACCGGAATTGAAAACCATCGATCAACCGATGAATTATTCATTACGTGGGAAGCACGTCCGATCGTCTATACGATCGTGTAACGATTTCACCGCAGGAGATGCAAACCTGAGATAGATTTTGCCATTTTATTCGTGTCTTTACAAATAAATTTTTATCACTCGTTTATCATCCCGTGGCAGCGTGACACATTTCCCCTGTCATTGATTGAATTACGACTCGTATCCCCCGAGTCGGTTCGAAGAAATCCAAGGAAAGATATAATGGATCGGCGACGAAGAAAGAACAAAAGTTACGATTCGTTTTACGGCCACGTTGAAGCGAAGCAAACGAAGCAATGCGATCGATACGAATAACGTGTATACAAAAAAATGTGGCTCGAATTATAATTATTAAACGATAGAAAATCTAAAATATATTATAACAAGAAAAATAATCGACGAGTGATCAAAAGTAAGAATTTAAATATATCTCTTACACTTTTCGTTAAAACTACGTTAAATTCGAATCTGAAAATTCGATGAAATTGAAATTCTCCTCGATGCATGACGCGATTTCCAAGAATATCGATGAAGTTTTGAAGAAAGTTTTACGGGTCCAATAACGGTAATTTTTTTTTGTTCAAATCTGGCAAGAAGGCACGGCATCCTTTATCCCGCTTTCTTATAGTTTTTCTTTGACAAATATTTAAAACCGTTCGATCGCCGCGCATTCCCGTGGCTCAAGGTCTTTTTGCTTAATTGGAAGAATATGTTCGGCAGAACGGACGAATCCGTATGTTAAACAGCAGACGGTAGAGTCCTCGAGGCACGGTATTACAGTGAAAGACACTCGCTTCCTCGATGTCGGAAGTATCTTGAAGAAGCCAACGGTTGACCGGTAAGTTGACCAACTTGGTGGCAAGCAAAACACATCTATCCATCGTCCGCTTTCGCTGGAATTTCAACGAAGACAAAGGCCGACTCTCGATGCCCTTTTTCTCGATACCCTTCATCGTGAACGCTGTATAAACCTTGGCTTTGGATCAGCCTTTGGCATGCAAATATCGCGTTAAACGTGGAAGATCAGTGCCTAAGAATTTTATCCGCTCGTCGATATTAGATGCATTAAAAGATACAGAAAAATTTCGAAATCGCGGCAAGATATGTATGCGTAAGATTCTAAACTTAAACTTATTTTTGCGTTTATGTATAAAATAGTATGAAACTCGTTTAAATACGTTTCGTTTAAATCTAAAAATTAAACAAATCGTATTTTTATTTTTGAAAGAAACATAAATTTTCAAGGTATCTTTCAAACGTACATCTTCGGATTCAGTTATGACTTTGAAAGAAATTGTCAGTTCTCTATTTTTCTTTTTTTTTTTTTTTTTTTTTCTTAAGCGTATAATCGTATGCAAAATATGATTGCCTAGTGGATAGAATAAATTCGATTGCACGTTTAATACAGCGCAGAAGCTACGTTTATCGGAACGAGATTTTAGTCCATCCGGTTAACTGAACTTTTAACAACTGAATCTATTTAGTATGCGGAATATCAAACCATTAAGAACCAAGCTATGAATAATAAATAGATTCCACTAACATATATACATAGCAGAAATATAAAAAATATTTCCACGATTTCAAAGAAGATCGCAGTAATGTACAAGTTTTATTTCATAAAACTCGTACCTGTCCCGCATACTTCTCAAACAACTCTTTCCCAAAATCACCTGGCTGCACATTAAAATATCTCTGTTCCAAAAAAGACATTCCTTTCCCGTTACAACGATTATAGCAAGAAACGCGAAAATAACCTCGCACATTTCACGCGAGACAAGCAAGAATACAAGAAAAGAAGAAATCTACATACATCTGATTCGATAAAAATCAAACCGTGTCGATTCGTCCAATTTTATCTTACTTCCTGCTCACATTCCTGCTTTCTTCTCAACCGTCCTCAATTTCATCCCCGAAATCAGGAGAATGCAACGACAAACGCGAAAGAGGTCAAACAAAAATCTTTCAGCGTAATCGGGGATAAAAATCGCGTAAAGAAAAACGTACGTATCGATTCGTCGAATTTTATCCCTTCTCGATCCTATACTCCCGATTTCCCTTAACCGATCTCGGCCAACCAAAACTCTCGTTTAACGCCTCTTACGTTTACGAGGATCCGGATCGATGACACAGACGCTCAGGAATCCGAAGAGGGTTGGCGAGAGTGGTGCTCGACGGCACGACTTTCCGTGTCGAGCATAGTCGGCCCACCTTTATAGACGCACCTCCGAGGCGCCTATTCAAAGGTACCACCTTGCGGCGGGTGGGGATACGTGCCGCTCGTGAGGTAGTATTAAAAGGCCATTAAACCGGGCCGACATGACATATGGCTTTGTGCGTATGCGCGCGACCCTTGGCGATTCTTCGCTTTGCCGGCGAAACGAAACTGCTGCTCGCCTGTCTGCCACCACCACCACCGGTCTCGTACAATAAAACCAGATGGAACGACCAGCTGCCAGACCACCCTTCTCTTTTTCCTTTTCTCTTTCTCGCACGCTTTCCATCTCTCTGTCCAAGTCTCCCCCTCCCTTAATTCGCGAGTTAAAATTCGCGGGCCCTTGGTGTGGCGCTTCAACTTGGCCACCGATCGAAAAAAAGGAAAAGAAAGGGAAAAAAGAGAGGGAGAGAAGCGGATCGATATCTATCGTGCGCGTTTGACGAGTCACGGAACACTCGAACAGGCCGGGTTAATGGCTCCAGGCGCCGAGATGATCCTCCTTCTCCTTCTGTTAATCGATATCGGATAACTGGACACTGGATGTTCGGAGGCTCATACGAGAGCCTGTTTCGGTTGGTCCAATTAGTGGGACGGATTTAACCTTCGCAGTAGTCAGGTATCTCTTTTTACTCGTTTCTCGACGTGGATGAGGCTTGCTGCCTCACCTGTTCAATGTCGTTCGCGTCAATGTCGTTCGGGGCGAGATATCCGACGCCTTCTTTCTTTTCTTTTTTTTTTTTCGGTGAACGAATTTAAATTCGAGAGCAGTGGTTTTTCGATGGTTGAAATTTTCGAAAAATTCTTCCGTATCGCGTGAATTTTATCTTCTTCCAAGAATCTCTGTATTTTATCCCGTGCGCAACCCGAGAGTACAACAGGTGTTTCACGATCAACCGCCGCTCTTGTCAGCGAGAAATTATAATTCTTGGAAAGAGGTAGGGGCTCTATTCGAACTGGCGAGCCGGCCTGGCATACTTCGGCACGGTTCAACGAGCACGCCCATCTGTTCTAATTTCTCATCACTCTCGTCTTCGTTAACTTGTATTATCCGCGTAAGATAATAATAAAATCCTGGCAATATATTTTCTTGTTCTAAATAATGAAATTTCTATTTCTAATTCTCTATCTCTCGTCGTCGAAATTACGAAAAAAATTTCCTGGACCAATTTCTCCTTGGAAAAAATAAAATAAAGGAACAGGAATTAAGAGGGATAGTCTAAAGCTCTCGGTCGGAGAGGGGGAAATTAGGGAAGATTTACGTAGATTCAGATCCCTGTGACGAATCCCCAAGATTTCTGGTCCACGAGATCCCGGACGTAATCCGGAATCTCTACGAAATGCACAGACTCTCTGGTATTCGCGAAACAAGGCGCGCGTCTGTTTTTAGTAACCAAGGTTTCTCGTTTGCATCGAGGACACCGGAGATATATCCAGATTATCCGGTTCTTTATTGTCCGCTTATTTTAGATCATTCCGTGTCATGTTTCCATGGAATAGCTAGGGTCGTTCCTTGAAAACTCATCGCGCGTTAATCGCACGAATTTCATAGATTGTGTTATACACTGGTCGTCGTCCCGATTCAAAACTTCTTCGCGACTATGATTGCATAGAAAACGCGAGTTCGAGGAGTCAGAGGAAACGCTATAGAGAACGGAGGACGGCGTAATAAAAGGGGAGAGTTAACACGGTCGTAAAGCTGTTCGTACGGATGGAATAGAATATTAAAGCTTTTTATTAATTAGCGTAATGCGTTTACGAGATCGGTGCGTGTATTTTTTGCGGACACGGCCTCGTTTTATTTCGGATTTTTCCGTCCGTTTCTGCTGCCTCGAGCGATTAAGCTAAGAAAGGATGCGTTAAATACA